CCACCGGGGCATCCCTAAAATAAAATCTTAAAAAAAAAAAAAAATTGGAACCCTCCCCACCCCTAACGTCCGGGTGAGTGTTAGACTAGTTGCGTTATTTCTACGGGGACATACCAGTGCCGACAGTAGTGCAGGGAGGTGGAGAGAATATGGAATCAGAAGGCTCTTGGTTTCAGCTTTGACTCTTGCTAATCACCGTCGTAATCTGGGGACAGATAACTTAGATTCTGAGCCTGATTTTGGCCATCAAAGCACTCTAAAAGTGTTCAACCTTTTAGAGTTGAACACTCTAAAAGTGTTCAACCTTTCAACTTACCCAAAAATATAAGAGCACAAACAAAAACAAATTCTGTCAGCTCACCCTCTCTACGGGCTAAGTAAACTGTACTACCTCAATTCTAAAGAGAGACATAAACAAAATCGCAATGCTGATCCTCAGCACATGGTCTTAGTTAAAATAAAAGTATACACTTCAGTACTGTGTACCTGGATTGTATCCCATTCTCCTAAAAAGTGTTTGGAAGTGGGGTCTTGACTAGGTTGTCTCCTCATGACATAGAAGCTGTTGCATGTACAGCTGATCACCTTACTGTCCATTGCTGAAAGGAATGAACTGTAATGAACAGGCTTTAAAATTCACGCGTGATCATTTATCGTGGGTCTACCGTGTGCCAGGCTCACTCTGAAGGGTGGGGGAATCAGAATAACATTGCTGTCTAACGAATCAGTCTAGCAGTGGAATGTATAAACCGATACGTTAGAAGATACCATGCGAGTGTCTCACTAATGGTATAAATCCACAGCCATGCCAGAAATCTGGGAGGAATAATACTCACCTGGGAGACTCTGGGAAGACTGTGGCGGAGGTGATGTTTGAGCCGAATCTTGAGAGGTGAGTGGAAATTTGCCAGGTGAAGAAAGAGAAGGGTATTTACGAGCAGAGGGAATAGCATAGCTCATGAAAGTGCCTGGCACGTTTGAGAAATGGTGAAGAGAGAGATTTTGTGAGGGGGGAAGGTAGACGGACGGATAGCTTGGGGCTAGCACATGGGGAGGCTTCTTAGGCCACATGAATGGCTAATCACCCCTTCAGGTAATGAGGGGTGGGGGGGCACAGGTAGTGCGGGATGTATTGTGTGTTATGCTTTGTTTTTAAAATTTTGTTTTGTATTTTTTTTTAATTTTTTAAAATGTTTATTTTTATTTTTGAGAGCAAGAGACAGAGAGAGAGACAGAGAGAGAGAGAGATCGCGCATGAGCAGGGGAAGGGCAGAGAGAGAGGGAGACACAGAATCCGAAGCAGGCTCCAGGGTCTGAGCTGTCAGCACAGAGCCCAACTCAGGGCTGGAACCCATGGACTGCAAGATCATGACCTGAGCCGAAGTTGGATCCTCAACTGACTGAACCACCCAGGCACCCCAAGGTTTTATTTTTAAGTAATCTCTACACCCAGTGTGGGACTTGAACTGAGGTCAAGAGTCACATGCTTCACCAACTAGGCCAGCCGGGCGCCCCATGTGTGTGTGTGTGTGGTGCTTTTAAGGTAATGGGAGGTCATGTGGAGGGAGTATATAACGTGGGAGCAGGGAAAAACAGGTTAGGAGACAAATAGGAGGTGGGAGCGGGAAGGCTGGCTCTGAGAAGCGTTTCTGAAAGAGAAGAGACAGCATGTGGTAGACACTGGTCGTGGAAGCTGAGGGAGAGGCAGAAATGGAGTAGGACTTTGAAGTTGCTCGGTACAAGGGAGACTGGTGGCTGGTGGTACTGTTCATTGAGGTGCAAGAACAAGCAACAAGATGGGTTTTCTGCTCCAGGGTTCTTCTGATTAGAGAGTGACCACTAACATTGGCACAGGTGGTCAGGGACCAAACAAGAAGACAGGATGTCCGCGTCTGAGAAACTGGAGCAAGCCTGCCTCAGAATGAAACCACCGATCTCAACTGCCACGCTTTGGGCTCAAGGTAAAACACCCTTTAAAAGCTGTTATCTAGAATATGTCCCGTCTACTGCACACCTCTTTTTTGGTTACGCTGTGCACCATCTCCACTTGAAAGACTGTGGAGTGGGAACGTCAGAGCCAGATTACCCAGGCAAGTGACCTCAGACAAGACGCTTAAACCTCCCTCTGCTTCGGCTTCCTCATATGCAAAATAAGAAGTTCTTCACGAGGCTGTTATAAGAATGATATGAGTTCGTATATACAAATGTGTGCCTGGCACAAAGTCAAGTACCTGATAAGCACTTGCTATCATTATTAATAAGTAACAGAATGCTCAACTAAACATGGTACAAATGTTAGAGACTTATTACGGAACGAGATTGGAAGCGGACGGTTCCAGAGCTGGTGCTGTTGCTTGATAACCAAGTTGTCAAGGACCAGACTCTTCCCAAATCCCATTTTGCCATGCTCAGCTTGTTAGCGATTTCTCACCTCATGGTGGCAGAAAGACTGCAGTAGCTCCAAGTATCAAGTCCTTACTCAACCAACATTCCAAGCAGGAAATAAGGGGTTGGGGTGGGGGGGAAGGGGGCTTTCTTCTTTGTGTAACCCTCACTTATCAAGGAGGAGAATCTTTCCTAGAAGCCCCCAGTAGGTTTCCTTTCAGCTAGAACCGGGCCACAGGCCCATCCCTAACTTCGAGAGAGGCTAGAAAAGAATGTGACACTTCTACAACAAATGAGGCAAAAGTGGAATTGGGGTTGGCTGTTGCTTGTATTGCCTGCCACAGTCTGAGAACCAGAGTTTCAAGGATGCCTCACTCAGGCCAGGGGTAATTGAGAAACAAGGACATAGATGTATTTATTGAGAGTGAGTCAGCCATAGGGTTCACCTTTCAGAGGCCATCAGCTTTTTTGAGAATAGCTTTTTAACCCAGGTGAGTGTCCTATTGGTAAAATATGGAGAAAGGATATTTTTGAGCCAGGGGTCCTTTCTAGTATTCTTGCTTCTTCTAGGCTGTCACTATCCCTAGGAGGGGGCTCATAATTCAGTTCACCTTTATTTAAAAGGTTGCCCAGGCCGTTCACTGTTAAAATTACTTACAAGAAAGTACGGGCTGGCTTCCTTCCCTTTCACTGCCCCTTGCAGCAGTCTCTGCCACAACGACAGGTCTAATGGGCAGGGAGAGCTGTGTGAGAAGAGCTACTCTTTCCTCCTTAGAAGCTGTTCTTAAATCCAGCTGTTCCCCTGCAATCCACATCCCCACGCTCACTGCCGGAGCTTGGGCCCCAAGCATCTTTCATCCAGGCTCCTGTTCGAGCTTCTCCTTCGCAAGAAAGAAGGCAATGCAGTAAGGTGGAAAGAGAGCGACGAAGGAACCAGAAGAAAACTTCTGTAAGCACCCAGAGAAAGCCTTATTCCCACTGTCCCAATTCTGCTAACAAAGACAAGGAGAAAATTTTTAATTCCAAGGCACTTAGTTACTGATCTGATTCTGGCCTGCATGTGGATATTCAATAAATACTTGTTAAATTAAATTGATTCAAGGTTTTATTTATTCAGCCTACTTAAAGCTTATGTAAACCCCTTGGAGATTTGTGTCAAGCTGTTAAATTGGAAAATATATGAAAGGTAGTATTTTCACTAGACCAGCTTTCCTCTTAATGAGCTTTATGAGCTTAATGTAGATGGGTGTGCGTGTGCGTGTGTGTGTGTGTGTGTGTCCAGGAGAGAAGCAGAAGGAGGAGGTGAGGAAGAAACAGGAGAAAAGCCTGTTTCTGTCATTTCCTACATTTGTCTTCATTGCTATACTTATAAACCAGCTACTGCCCTCTAGTGCTCACTGTATAAAGTTCACTCCCAAATTCCATTTGTATCTTTAAAAACCCTGGTGACTCCAGGAAGGGACAACCTCTTCTTTTGCAGATAAGCAAACTGAAGTCCAGAGACTCAGATGTCAAACTGACCCAGGCAGCTTCCTGGATTCTTAGTCACCTCACTGTAATTCGTCCGGCAAACTATTTTTATTAAAGGCATTGCTCAGGCATTTCAATAGCTAATCAATAAAAAATTACAGCATACTTATTGTATGCTGAAACTGATATAACACTGTATGTTAACTATACTGGAATTAGAAATAAATGAATTTTTTACATGCACATAAAAATTACAGCACAGTAATCATTTAACAATAATTGTAAGCGTTATCCATTGTTTCCAATGTTATTCCACGTAAAGCCAAAACTGACTGTTGGCAAAATTTACATAAGGATTTATAAATAACACTGTTATGTTTTCAACTTGGTAAAGTTTAGAATATTCCTGTATTACTTTTTTTTGCGGGGGGGGGGGGGCAGAATAGTTAACTAGAATGGACCCAAAGTAGATTTGGCTGTTTAGCAAAAGTGACTTATCACTGTCTCCATGTAGATAATAATCTTCTGCTAGAATTCTCCCAAAGGAACCTCTTTGCTCACTGATGGAAAAAGGGGGGGGGGTCACTTTAACTTAGAACACATATTTTCATCATTTAATCATTTTGCTGGTGGGAATAAACTGAAAGTTATCCAGCTGGATGTGTCACTTGCAAGAACATTACTGAGTAACAAAAGATTTATTCAAATATTTAATTGGAAGGAAATACATCTGGAATAAGTTTTATTGGAATTCATATAAAAAGGAAAGTAAATCTATTAGAATTAATATCATAAACAGTTGACTTTATCTGGAACCAGAAATGCTAATGAACTGCAGCCTAGAAGTCCTAACCACTTTTCCTTGCAAACAGCCAGTCATTTTTCAATTTATATGCCAATTATACTTTATTACTTTAGGTAGAGCTTTGTTTTCAGCGAATATCTTGGAGATAGATCACTCAAATTACCTAATTCGTTTCCTTTCTCCCATTGTCTGAAAAAAGCAAGCAAAAAGAAAGTGGTAGGGGGCATTTGCCTGTCTTCAAGACACTTCAAAAATCCTGCTAAGATCAGCAAGTCAGTAGAAAGTCACTGTGTTTGGACTACCAGGAAGAACATGAATTAAGAGACATCTAGTTTCCCCCTTAGATGTCAACATAGATCCCATTGATCAAATAATCAAGTCTTGAATAGCGTCTCCTGCGGAGAGATTCTGAGAACATTCTACCCAAGAGGACAAGGCCTATGGCTAGGAACAGAACACCAAAGAGGAGGGTCCCAACGAGGAGCCATTTTTCAAATGGGAGGCCATGCTGACTTTCTGGAACACTCTTCAGGGAGGAACCACCTGGACTGGCCTTCCCATTTTCCTGAGAAGCACTTTTATTCGGAGCAGAAGAATCCACATTTGACAGAAGTAATGTGGCAGCAGAAGAATCCACAGTTGACAAAGAAAGCGTAGCAGGGTTATAGGCATCCTCTGTGTTCAAAGACAGGTTGGAAATTTCTCTAACCGGCACTGTTTCTGGGGGGCCTTTCCAGTCCGTAGGTGCCTCAAAGATGGTGTTTGAGACTGTTGTCGTAGTTACGCCAGCTTTGGGTGTAACTTCGGCATGTGTCAACATTGTAGACAAGAGGCTTGTGGGGGGCTGAGACGTGACCACAGCTAGGGGTGGAGCTGAGGTGGCCCCCTCTGGTTCAAAAGTCACAGAAGGTATCACCGGAGCATTGGTGGTGGGGGAAAATGCAGGCTTTGGAGAGGCAGAGGTGATATGCAGAGAGGAAACAGCCTTGGTAGTGGGGAGTGTTGTCACCTTTTCGGGCAGCAGATGAGCTATGTTTTGTTCTGAAGAAAACCGTGAACTCTGAGAATGGCCCTTTTCTTTATCAACAGGGAACCGTGTACTCGCTTGATCAATCTCGAATAGTTTCTCCAAGTGATCTGAGGACCCCAACTTCTGAGAAAAGGCACCTTTCTGTAAGCTGTCAGTGGACTCTGAATAACCTGTCACAGGAGGGGGTGTGGGAGTGATCACCTGCGGAGACTGGCCATGGATGAGAGAACCTTCTTGGGTTAACTCTTGGCTTGGCAAATGAGTTCTAGCCAGAGCTGGAAAGTCTGAAAATGTAGAGAAAAGTTAAAGGGAGACTTAAATATTTCCATGCGAAGGCAGGTTAAAAAAAGACAAACATATCAGCTTGTTCAGTAAATCCCCAAACTGTTGAAACTTGACATTTCATAGAAACTTGCGCAAAATGGAAAAATACAAATTGCTAAATCAGAATCTGATGACACTGCCTCTCTACCAGATGCTGTGGTTTATTTCCAGAGTGGTGGGACAGAGGAGAAATGTGTGGAGGAGGACCAGGCAAATGAAGGAAGAGCTGGGAGGAGCAGAGCAAGGGGGCTAAGAGGAGTTCAGGAGCCGCAGCAAGAGGTTTAGGAAGATGGAGACACTTAGGGGGCCGATGCCAGGGAAGAGGGCTGGGCCAGGGCGACAGGGCTGGAAGACGAGTGGCACAGAGAAACTCCCTGGGACTGACAAGACAGCTGGGAAGGCAGCAATCACCGAGAGAGATTTCGTAGCAAGGGCACCCGCAGGCAAGAAAGGCAAGGGGGAGCGGAGGCAGAATCCTTGCAATTTGCCTGCAACAGGGTGGAGGCGGAGGGGCCGGGAGGGAAGGTCTGGTCTCCTCCCAGGGCACCGAGGCCACAGCAGCAGCAGAAGGCTGATGACACAGTGTCCAATCAAAAAACAGGTTTCAGCACCACACACAGGGGAGGGAGGCAATTTGGGAGATTTCATTGTGACTCTCAAGGATTAAAATTTCAGAGCCAATGTCTTAGAGTCTGAGGACTCTGGGACCAAATTTGAAATTAGGATGGCCACAGTGCTGATAGAAAGAGCCGAAAATCACACAATTCCGAGTGCTGGCTACGGAGGGACCAGCCTCACATCCTCCTCACGGTGACAGAAAGCTTAGAATTATGCTCTTAGTCTCACACACCATTCATCACAGCTCAAATTGGGAAGGCTTGTGGGAGCCATCAGGGGCAGGGAAGGATCATTTGAATTGCTCTGTATCACTCTGCTACTTGGCTGATCATTTTCACTTAGATCTGAACTGCAGAAAACACAAGGAAGGAAGAAAAGGAATTTCTTAGCATTTCCTTGTTCATTCTTCCCTGTTCTCTTTCCCCCTTTCTTCTTCAACTCCTCTCAGTGCCAGTGTCTGAACTAGATTCCATTCTCTTCTCTGCTAACAAACATCCAGAGGCGACCTCTGATTTGTAATATCTTCGATTACTCTGTAAGCATCACACCTGGAACAGGTCCTTTAGAACGGTCACTCCGTAATCCGTCTAGGACAGGGGTCAGCAAATTATGGCCCGAGGGCCAAATCTAGCTTGTCACTTCTCTTTGTATGGCTTATGGGCTAACGTATACATTTTTAAATGGCTGACAAAAATAAAAAGGAATAATATTTTGTGACACATGAAAATTATATAAAATTCAAATTTCAGTGTCTATAAATAAAGTTTTATTGGCATGTAACCATGCTCATTTGTTTATGCACTGTCTGCAGGTACTTCATACTATAAGGACAGAGGTGAATAGATACAACAGATTGCATGTGGCCCATAAAACCTAAAATACTGGCCTGGAGGGGCTCCTGGGGGGCTCAGTCGGTTAAATATCTGACTTCGGCTCAGGTCATGATCTCACGGTTCATGGGTTCGAGCCCCATGTCGGGTTCTGTGCTGACAGCTCAGCTCAGAGCCTGGACCCTGCTTCAGATTCTGTGTCTCCCTCTCTCTCTGCCCCTCCCCCACTCATGCTCTGTCTCTCAAAAATAGATAAATGTTAAAAAAAAAAAAAAAAAAACAAAAAAAACATACTGGCCTGGAAAGCCTAAAATACTTCTCATTTGGCCCTTGACAGAAAAAGTCTGCAGACACCTGCTCTAGGATATAGTACTTTACCCCAAAATAGAATTCGGATGATTGAAATTCCTCTTTCCTCCAACAATGCTGGAGAAAAGAGTTTCTGCTGCAGGTTACATCACGATGATAGATATAACATCACCATAAGATAAACAGCATCTCTATTTTTAGGTAGCATCAGATATTTTTCAAAAAGAACAGGACTCAACATATTCCATTTTAAAGTTAAAAAAAAAAAAGACTAAGTAAATGCGATGTGTGTGAACTCAGAACTTAAATAAAGCCATTGACAAGAATGACCAAAACAGCTGCTTTCTTTCTCAAGAATGTCAGTTCATAAATAAAGCAAAGCAAGGGCTAGTCCTATTTCTTGATAAGATTCATCTACTGGCAAGGATCCTAGAGGCATGCAGGGATCCTGTGCACCTGCTCCCTTCACCTCACCCGCTGATGTTTGCCACTGGGGTGTGGTGCTTTTTCTCGCTCGCACAGAGATGAGCCAGCGGGGACTGCAAAACAGCCCTGTGCCCTCAATCTCTCTTTTGAGTTTCATTTTCAAGTGACTTGATGAAATAAAAAACTTAGGGACTGACTATTACTTGGAAACCAGCTGAGCAAACAGACTCCCAATTTATTGTTTCTGAACTTCCCTTATTCTAGTCCTCGGTAGAAATGACACACTGCAAAGCTGGGAAAAAAATTAAATAATTCCAAGTTGCAATGGTTTTATAGAATGAACACAGTACACTATCATCTTTCAAGCTTTTGGTCTGTAAATATTAGCCCATCTGTTATAGGAAATGGAATTCATCTAGAAACAAACCACCCAACAGATATCTATTAATTTCACTCTAAACAGGAAGCAGATAATTTATTTTTGTGGGGACTCTCAGTCCATCAACATGGGCAGATTCATAAAGAGAATTACAAACACAATTTGTAAACATCCTGTATGTATAAAGCCTGCAGCACATGATGTCCAGGGTCCATGCCACTTTGCTCTTCAACCTGCTCTGGGCTGATGGCGCCCCCTGGTGGCTGCCACAGGAACTGTTTAATTCTAATCCGACTTTATGACCTTCACAGCCTCCCAGTAAAGATTTACACACATGCCAAAGTTCCCTTTTCTCCCATTTCCACTGGAGAGAATCTTTACCTCATATTCCCTCTTTTACACATGGATTATAAAAGCAACAACATTACAGAAGTATATGGAAGTTATAAAACAAATTCAACTATGGTTTTTATCATTATGTCTCAGCAACCATTAACATTTCTGTGTGCCTTAGAGTTAAATTTTTTTTCATGTATTTGAAAAACAACCAGGTGTTTTTCACCTGGAATTTTGTTTATTTATATACCTCAAACTTATCTTTTTTTAAGTTTATTTATTATGAGACAGAGAGCGGGAGAGAGAGAGAGGGAGAGAGAGAGAATCCCAAGCAGGCTCCACACCATCAGCACAGAGCCCGACGAGGTGCCCGAACCCACAAACCGTGAGATCGTGACCTGAGCCCAAACCAAGAGCGGGATGCTCAACCTCTCTCAAATGGATCCATCATATTTTATACCCAACCGTTCTCAGGCAACGGGACACTTATGCTGCTCCTAGTTTTTTACTTTTCAAACGAATTTCACACAAAAAAAACATGCTTCAAACCAATAGCTTTTTCTTGTTTTGGTCTTGCTTCTTTAAGGTTTTATGAAAGTAGAATTGCTAGATTAAGTTACCTGTAATTTCTTTAATGTTGCGCGTTCGTTATGAAATAGAAGACAGATACAGGGAAGCGCGCTGATAGTAGAAGAAGGGGCAGAATGAAGAAGAGGTAGTGAGAAGGGATAACAGAGGCGGAACGTTGCAGTCCAAATGCCACACGATGGGAGTTCCAGAAGAAGAACAAACATTCCGGTTAGTGTCTTGAGCCCTGACCTCTTTGGACACTAAGACTAGAATATCCATTTGCTGCTGAATTACCACCCCTGGCTATCTAACAGGCTCTGCGATGTTCCAGGTGATCCAAGAGGAACAGCAAGAAGTATCACCACCACACTATAGGCTCCCAGATGATTTACACACAGGCACAAAGGGAAGGAGCCATGAAGATCTGGGGCAGCCAGAAGATCTGCCCACTGATGCCCCAAAAGGGCAGGACAAGACAGTGTCCACAGAAAGTAAGATTTTAAGTGTTTTGAAAGGCTAATTTGTTCTATGCCCAGTGTTTTTTAAAAATCAATATCTAAAAAAAAAAAAAATGTTTATTTATTTTGAGAGAGTGTGGGTGCAAGCAGGATGATGGCCAGAAAGAGACAGAGAGAAGCAGGTGACGTGGGGCTCAAACTCACGAACCACGAGATCATGACCAAGGTTTTGGCTCAAGGCGGTTCGTGAGTTGAAGCCCCATGTCGCCTGCTTGGGATTCTCTCTCTCCCTCTCTCTCTGCCCCTCGCCCTGCTGGTGCACACACTCTTTCTCAAAATAGATAAACTTTTAAAAATTTTTTAAAAATTGAAAACTGTGATAAAATGTACATACTATTTACCACTTTAACTCTGTAAGTATACAGTTCAGTGGCATTGAGTATATTCACATTCTCTGCAACTGTCATCCTCATCCATCTCCAGAGCTTTCTTCATCTAGCAAAACCGAAACTTTTGTACCTTATGCCAGTTTTCTTATAGTTGGTTTATATCACTATTTAGGAAGAATTTACACAAATAATTTGTGCTTTATGCTCCTGTTTTAGGGAATGTTTGATACATCTGGTTCATTAACCAAAACTCAGACACAGGGGACAGAGTGGAGTCTGAGCCCAGGCACCCTGGGCAGTATCATTCCCCAAAGTACCTCACACATAAAAGAGTCATAAGACAATCCTTGAGTGCACTCCCCCTCCCAACCCTAAAACCAGTCTCCTTAATCTTCCCCAGCTCAGTAGATGGTACCACCATCCATCTAGACTTTCAAGCCAAAAACTAGGAAACTAGGACTCAATTCCAATACTTCTGTTTCCCATGCCGTCACAACCATCCCACACCATCGGCTCTTCCTCTGAAACAGCTGTATGTTTACTTCTCTACCTCATCTGCCACCTCCCTGGTCCACAATGTCATGGCCTTCCACTTGGATCTTGCCTCTGCCTCCTACCCAGTCTTCCCACTTCCTCTCTTGCTGCCGCATTGTTGTCCCTCCCCAGTAGAGCAGTCACAGTGAGCTTTGAGAAATCACCTTGAAAACACCATGTTACACGCCTACTGAAAACTTCCAACGGCTTCCCATTAGACACCTAAAATAAGAACTTCCTACCTTGGCTTACAAAGCTTTATGTGATCTCTCCACTTTTCTTTTTTTTTTTTAATTTTTTTTTTTCAACATTTATTTATTTTTGGGACAGAGAGAGACAGAGCATGAACGGGGGAGGGGCAGAGAGAGAGGGAGACACAGAATCTGAAACAGGCTCCAGGCTCTGAGCTGTTAGCACAGAGCCCGACGCGGGGCTCGAACTCACGGACCGCGAGATCGTGACCTGGCTGAAGTCGGACGCTTAACCGACTGCACCACCCAGGCGCCCCATCTCTCCACTTTTCATACTTCTTGCGTATCACTTTTTTTTTTTAAGTTTGTTTCTCTTGAGAGAGAGAGAGAAAGCAGGAGTGAGGGAGGTGGAGAGAGAGAGAGGGAAAGAGAAGGAGAATCCCAAGCAGGCTTCGCACTGTCAGTGCAAAGCCCTATTCAGGGCTTGATCCCATGAACCATGAGATCATGCATGACCTTAGCCGAAGCCAGTCCCTTAACCGGCTGAGACACCCAGGTGCCCCTGTATGTCACTCTTTATATGGTTCACTCTGAGTGAGTCAGCCAGCTGAGACTGAGACTGAAATCATTCTGCCTCAAGATATTGAAACAGGCTATTTCCTCTGCCTGAAGGTCTTCCCAGATCTTCTCACATCTGGCTTCTTACCATTCAGATCTCAGTTGAGGGGTTACTTCTTCACAGATGCTTCCTCTGACCACCTACTCATGAGGGTCCACTCAGTGATCATCTATTACATTGTCTTAGCTCAATCATCAGCCTAACACTTGTGATGATATTTTTCTTGATTACTTTTTTTTTTGATTACTTATAATATTTTTCTTGATTACTTATTTAGGATGGTTATTGTCTCTCCCTCCTAAAACATAAGTTCCAGAGGTAAAAACCTTGTTTTCCATGTTTCCATTTTTGTGTTCTTGGGGCAGAAAAAGTGTTTGGCACATATAGGAGATGCTAAATAACATTTGTTGTTTATTGAGTAAATGAGCAAATAGAATATTATTAATAGCCAAGGGTATAGTGAAAAAAACTGTCTAAGACTTAAATAAAAGGACACTTGATACTGAAAACATTTCACCCTGAACATTAGCAAGCCAGGGCGCCTGGGTGGCTCAGTTGGTATAAGCATCTGACTCTTGGTTTCAGCTCAGGTCATGATTTCACAGTTTTGTAAGTTCAAGCCCCACGTCAGGTTCTGAGCTGAGGGTGCAGAGCCTGCTTGGAATTCTCTCTCTCTCTCTCTCTCTCTCTCTCTCTCTCTCTCTCCCTTTCTGCCCCTCCCCTGCTCACTCTGTCTCTCTCTCAAAGCTAAATAAATAAATAAACAAACTTAAAAAATATTAAGAAGCCAAAATCTCACCAAGACATATCCAAATTATTATATTATTTTTTAGTTGTTTATTTTCTAAATTCTGAACAAATATGTTCAGAGTGGAGACTGTATTTCCAATGCCTTGCACAGAATTTGGCACATGGTGGACGCTTAGTAAATACTTCTTGAATGAACCTCCTTCCAGGTCTAGGTAATAAAATCCAGGGTGTTTGATTTCACATAATGTGATTATAAAATAATTAGAACCTAAAGACAAATGTACTAGAATTTTGTATACTCACATGGATCTTAACCCTTTAAAAAATTTTTTTTATGTTTATTTATTTTTCAGAACGAGAGAGACAGAGCACAAGTGGGGGAGGAGCAGAGAGAGGGGGAGGAATCTGAAGCAGGCTCCTGGCTCTGGGCTGTCAGCACAGAGACGGATGCAGGGCTCGAACCCGTGGACGGTGAGATCATGACCTGAGCCGAAGTTGGACCAGCTGAGCCACCCAGGCAGCCAGGTCTTAACCCTTTTAAAACAGACCGTGGACCACGGAGACCTTATTCCAGTGCCTCTTACATTTTCTAAAGAGGTGTTTCAAAATGTTTTCATGAAAGGTCTGAGTGCCTTTTATCTCAGGAAGGTAGAAACAAAAAGCTAAACAACACAAAATACCATCATTCAGAGATCTTTCATTGGAAAACAGATGTTTGGTTTAATAGACTGAATTTTAAATCATGAGAGATTTCTGGTGTGCCTCTATATTTGTGACTACTTTTGGTAGTTTTACTTAGATTCTTTTGTAGAAAATCTTTCACATGAACCATATCCTTAAAGAATCCCAATCACCAAAGAAAAAGAACAATGCTTTTATTACCTCTAATTATCCTGTAACTCATAAGTCCCTTTGCTGGTTTCAGGGGACAGGCTTCCTCGCTGGGACAGAAAAATAGGTAGCAGTTGGGCTGTCTAGTTGTTTTTCGAGTGTCGAAGATCATCAGGTTACATGCTTTGTCTCCTGAAATTAAAGGTATCATAAGCATTACACTGAAATAGGATAGTCTAAAGACGATGGCAATTATTTTTTCTGCTGTCCAACACAAATACCTTTGTTCATGTTGTGCATTTGCTTGCTGACCACTAATTCGTTTCCTCTTCCTTAGTACTTACAGCAATTTGTGAAGACATTGGGTTAAAAAATCTGAATTAAGGTAATTTTGGCAAAACCCACTTTAAAAAAAATTTTTTTTTCAACGTTTATTTATTTTTGGGACAGAGAGAGACAGAGCATGAACGGGGGAGGGGCAGAGAGAGAGGGAGACACAGAATCGGAAACAGGCTCCAGGCTCTGAGCCATCAGCCCAGAGCCTGATGCGGGGCTCGAACTCACGGACCGCGAGATCGTGACCTGGCTGAAGTCGGATGCTTAACCGACTGCGCCACCCAGGCGCCCCAAAACCCACTTTAAATAGTACATTTAATTCTTTTTTTAAAAAAATAATGCATTTAATTCTTTAGATAAGCCTTCCATTTGCTCAAATATCCATCAAAATACACACAGAAATACTGACTTTGCGATCTTTACACAACTCACAACTGAGTTGGAACTTAAGAAATGGATCTAACCTAATGATTTCATGTATCTCTCATATCCCAAAGGCAGACACCTATATCAGACACCTATGAAGCCATGAGTCTGGCTTTCTTGAGTAGAGTCCCTAAATTTAGCATCACACCATCATTGCCCCCTTCCACAAAGGACCTGAGTAGTGTATGGAGGACAAAGTCTATGTTTTACCTTTATCAGTACCATTCTTCTTTTGATTTTTCTTCTTCACATTTCTATTCTTCCTTATTTCTGCTTTTCCATTTTCCTTCCTTTCAAACTTTTTACTCTTAACTTTCATTTCTTGCTTCTTTTTCTCTTCCACCTATGCCCAGTAGAAATCATTCTTTCTATTCATCATGGTCTAGAGCTGGCTTTGGTCTCAATCTGGTGCCATCTCACATCTTGGCCTAAGACCCTTGAGGGATCAGTATACCCCTGGTCAGGATAAGGTTTTGTTTTGTTTTAATGCTTTTTTATTTATTTTTGAGAGAGAGAGAGTGAGCAGCCAAGGGGCAGAGAGAGAGGGAGACACAGAATCTGAAGCAGACTCTAGGCTCTGAGCTGTCAGCACAGAGCCCAACGTGAGGCTCGAACTCAAGCTGTGAGATCATGACCTGAGCCAAAGTCAGACGTTTAACTGACTCAGCCACCCACGTGCCCCAGGATGAAGGTTAAGAGGCACATAGGCTAATTATTAAAAATGCATGCTCTTTCTAAACACACACACACACACACACACACACACACACACCCATGTATTAACTAACCTTGTTGTAGTAGTCATTACACAATATATACATGTAACAAATCATCACACTGTATATATTTTCACAATGTTACATGCCAAATATATCTCAATAAAGCCAGGGGAAAATATTCTGCATAACTGGCCATCAGCACAACTTCTTCAAATCAGGCAATGGTGAGGATCAACCTTGACTCCCGCATTTGGAAAGAAGATTCAGTTAGTTTCTGCAGGGGTTTTAGGCAGAAAACCAGGCAACAAGAAAGGTACTTTAGTTTTTCCTTTCTCAGCAATGGGATAATTCTGCAATACCATTTTTGGGGGGCATGGAGGTAAAGGGAAAGGTCCATAAGCCCCCCCAAGTTGTATGCAAAACTTTGTGTCCTTTGTACTTCTTTTTTCTTAATAATTCCTTTTTTTAAATAATTTTTTAAATTTAATTTTATTTTTGAGAGAGAGAGAGAGAGCAAGCAGGGGAGGGGCAGAGAGAGAGAGAGGGAGACACAGAATCCAAAGCAGGTTCCAGGCTCCGAGCTGTCAGCACAGAGCCCGATGCGGGGCTCAAACTCACGGACCATGAGATCGTGACCTGAGCTGAAGTTGGTCACTCAACCAACTCCGCCACCCAGGCGCCCCTGGGCATCTTTCTAAAATCTGTGGTTATGAGCAAATTATCAAAGCACTTAAAGACCATTGCTCAATAAATGAAGAAACAGTCTGAGATCCGTTAAAGGAGACCCACAATTATCTCTACTTACCGTAAAGCAGTAACAGTAATTCTGCTTATACAATAAAACAGCAAACCCTCATTTCTCACTAAACACCCATTACGGAGCTGAAAAGAAATGCAAGGTTTCCTGTGTTGCCAGCAAACACCCACACAGCATTCAGTACTGTTTGCAGATGATTTGCTACTTCACATAAATGTTGATACCAACATTTAAAGAAAAACTGGAAATTTAAATTAAATCTCTGTAATTTCCATAAATTACTCCTATAGAGAATATCAAAGCACACTGCTGAGTTTGAGAAAACCATTGAAAGTTTTTTTTTCCTCCTGACGTCAAATATGTGGTATCTTTTCCACACTAATACTCCAATTCTCCAGGGCACTGACTCAATGTCTTATGATTCGATTCAATTCTTACACTAACTACCTGGAGTTAGCATCAGATTCCATAGGTTTGAGGGCTCAGTCCTGTAAGACTGTCCTCACTTAGAGGCCAGTCAAAAGTATCAGCTCCCAGGTTACTCACGCTTCTGCCCAACTTGGCCATAAATCCAGGCTCCCACCACCCCTACTTCAGGTTTGATAATTTGCTAGAACTACTCACGGGACTCAGGAAAAGGCTATACTTACTATGATAGTTTATCAGTGAAAACACAAATGAATAGCCAAATGAAGTGTACATAGGGCGAGGTCCAGAAGGGTCCTGAGTGCAGGAGCTTCTGTCCCGGTATACCTGGAGTGAACAATCCTCTTGCACATGTGGATGTGTTTGCCAATGTGGAAGCTCTCTAAACCTGTGTTTAGGGATTTTTTTATGGAGATTCCATTATGTGGGCACAGCTGATTAAATCATTGGCCACTGGTGACTGAATTCAATCTCCAGCCCTTCTCCTCTACCTACAGGTGGGGGTGGAGCTGAAAATTCCAAATTTCTAATCAAGGCTGGGTCTTTCTGGTGACGAGTTCCCATCCTGGAGCTACCTAGGGAGCCACCAACAGTCGTAACTCAGGTGTGGTTGAAAGGGGCTCATAATGAATAACGAAAGAAGCTCCTAGGCTCAGGAAATGGCAAGGTTTTTAGGAGCTCTAACAGGAACCAGGAACCAAGATTATATGCATACATTTCTGACTATACCACACCCATTATACAAAGAAGAGAAACCAAAGATATAAGAGAAAACGTATGATTCGGTTGGCCAGTAAGTCAGGTAAGAAGCATTACTCCAGTGTTGACTAGCTCTTCTAGGCTCCTTGATGGCAAGGCCTTGTCCATGTTATTCATTGTTTTGTCTCCAGCATTCAGCAAGGCATTCGGTGCTCAATAAATGTAGTGTGGGTGTTTTTTTGTGGTTGGTAATTTATTTACTTTTCATTTAGGGAATTAGGACAGGGTCATAAACAACTGAAAAATGACCACTGTTTCTCTTGGATAAATATTTCTCAAGTCTGGAACTTGAAACATGCAAAGGTATGGCTCAGACCTGTGAGCCTCTTTCCTCTGTGTCATGTGACTGGGTCAGTCCAAACAACTTCCCATGTCCCTTAAGGGTTTTTGTTTCCAGCATCTTAGATGCCTATTAGAACATAACACCAGTGGTTCTCAACCTTTTTTCTACCTACACACCTGGGTGATATACACACACACTCATCAGTAACTTTGACCTAGCTTAGGGGAGGGGAGGACACACTTGTGGCACATGTTCCCAGTGAATTTGTTACCCACATTTCTACCCCATTGAGAATCACTAGGATAAACTATGCAGCCAGATCAGCCAGCTACTTATATCACAAAACACTTAAAATGAAGAGTTGCCAAGGGACTATTACTTACCTGTTATGTTTTTCGTTGAACAGCAAGAATTAATGCAGTCTTCCTGAGTTAATGTATGTACAGGTTCATTGCCTCTAATTCCCTTTGAAAGAGATGACTGGATGTCAATGACAACATCTTCTAGACTCTTCGTGTGGCAGTTCTGACTGGTGGACAGCCTCAGTGTCAGGAAGCAAATTACCACAAAAGTGTAACTCAAGCCCCATTCTTCCCTAAAGGACATTTTAAATTTCAATTTAGCCTAGTCTTCCAAGGTCAAGGATAATCCTCCCTCTGGTCTGAGTTTGCTTCAAGAAGATTGTACAGATCATGGAATTTCTCTCTAGAACAAAAATAGAAAATCATCAATGAGTTTTGTTTCTTTTAATAAATCTCACGAAGATACATTTCATTTCCTTCAAGTCAATGTCAACAGCTCATGATTTACAAAACAGAAATAAACAAGCATTTTTTATGTTTCACTTTTAATAGATCAAGACAACCTTCATTAAAAACTTGGTAAAGAACTAATTAGCACAAATATGTATACTATCCCATCAGTGCTTAAAAGCTGACAAATATCTATGAAGGAAGAGATATAAACAAGAGGCCTACCCCCAAAGTTCTAGAATCCTTCCTCTTCTTGCTTCTCCTAACCAAGAGGGGAGAGGACACAAAATCTCTAGCCACTGATGAAGCAGTGATAACAGGCTTGGGCAGAGTTTCTTTCTCAGTATTAACAACCAGCATTTTAAAATCACCTACTAGGTGGTAGGCAATGTGCTATGAAATATACATATATTATCCCATTTAATCCTGATAGTCGGTCTGCAAAAAAAAAAAAAAAAAAAAAAAAAAAAAAAAAAAAAAAAGAGCTACTATTTCCCTCATTTTATAGATGAGGAAGCTGGGGCTGCCTTTCTTGTGGCTGCCTCTCCTTAAGTATCAAATCAGAGACAGGTAACTCTAATAATCTAATTCTAAGAGTTAGCTGGTCAGTAGAGGGAATTCATTCATTTTGAGAATACAAATTGTTCACTGAACCATACTGTAGAGCAGAAATACTTCCTCTTCAATCTCATTCTCCTCCTCCTCCTTCTTCTGTCATGAACCCGAACCCTTTGGTAGTCTGGTGAGGCTTAGGATCTTTTCTGAGAGACAGAAAAGTTTTTTTTTAGCTGGTCAACTCAATCTTGGAAGCCAATTTATTTACAAACA